TCCCACCGAAGACGGCTCCGGCATCAGCGACCCGTATTCAGCTAAGTCATTATTCGACAGTATTCTCTCTCTCTCTCGCGCTCACGCGTCTTGACGTTGATAGCCTTAATATAAAACGCTTATTTGTATGATTCTTCTGTATCATCGACGGGGATATGCTTGCGGGCATATCTGAATATCCGAAATTGTAATATATGTAGACAGAATCCGCGGTGTAATTGTGTGAATAATTATATATTTATGACTCGAGCTGGAATTTATCTGATTTCTTTCCTAAGGACTATTTCTTTCGTTTCATTCCTTATTCGTAACCGTTACAATTGGCGCCCGAACAAATGGTAATAAAACGATAAATAATATTCAATGTAAAGCGGTAAAATAAAAGTATTTATGTCTAACGAAAATCGGCAGCTGCGAGAAACGAAAGCAAGAAGTGAGAGTAAGAGCGTTTCAAGATCACCAAGGACAATAGAGATAGCGGATAAACGAAGGAAGGGAAACACGAGCATAAGCATGACGAGCCAGGAAGGTCAAAGTAACGCGGAAATGGACAAACTGAAGAAGCAGGTACAAGAACTAACATTACAAATACAACAGCTCGCGCAAACAAGCAAGAGTCAAGCAGGCTCAGAGACTAACAATAATAAGATACAATGTGGTCACATAGCGATAGATGTAAAATTGCCGAAATTCCGAAACGAAGAACTAGATAATCCGTTAACATTCTTAAATGACATAAAAAATTATTGTAAACTAAAAGACATTCCTAAGCAGAGAATGTTATTAATAATCGGGTCGACATTGCAAGATCGTGCAAAAATATGGTTCGAAGCAAATCAGAGTGCGTTTGAGAATTATAGTTTTGAGGATTTTGAAATAAAATTTAAAGACGAATTTTTCTCAATTGAACATCAAATCGAAATGAGAAATAAGTGGGTAAATCGTAAATATAAGCAAAGTGATGGAACATTAAAAACATATTTTTTGAAAGCTAAGACTGAGGCACAATATATTATGTTGAACAATAGTGAATATGAAAACAATTATATTATCATAAATCAACTACCAATAAGTATTAGAAAAATATTAGCGACCGTTAATTATAGAGATACTAAAGCAATTATGCAAGCACTAAGCAATTTAGATGAAGTAGAAAATTTTAAAAGCAGAGTAAGTACGATGGAAACACAAGAGAATAATGTAAAAGAGGTCAGACAATTGAATATATATAAAAGAAATTATAATGATAGAAATTATGGTTACATGCACAGAAGTAAATACGAGTCATTTAATACGGTAAATAGAGATCAAAAAGCATATGATCAAGAAACAGCTATGCCAGACGTCAGAGTGCCTCCGCCGGGTTATTTAGCGGGGCCAGAAAGAAATGAGAATACTTATCGATACAATAGGAGGCAGGGGAATAGCAAGAGGGATGACCAACAGCGAGTACAGTACGATAATAGAGATAATTTAAACTACTAGGAGGCTCAGCAGGAAAGGGTCCGCTGCTGGGCTTCAATCACTTGGATTATATTCAGGATCTGAACGAAGGGGTGGAAAACGGGGAGGAAAGTAAAAAGAAGTCGGCAGAAAGTGGAAAAAATTTAAGTCCCAGTGTACAGTGTTCGGTTGAGGGTGTTGAAATGATAGGTATTATTGATACGGGGGCTCAAGTGTCATGTATTGCAGAAAAGACGTATATAAATATGAAATCGAAGGCTACAATAATGGAATTACCGGTGGTAGGAATAAAGGTCATGGGACCAATAAACCGAAAACCAATAACAATTACGAAGCAAATACACGTATCGTTAAATATTGGAGACTATGTTAGTGAAGTAGTGTTGTTAGTAATACCACATCTCACAGCAGATATTATATTAGGTACTGAGTGGCTGGCAAGAAAGCAGGCAATTATTAATTATAAGGAAAAAATGATAAAACTAGAGAACAAAGAATTGCAAAGTCAGTTTATAATGTTTGAGTGGAAAGATTGGTCGCGTGGTATAGATGGAGAGGCAGACAGAAAAATAGTCAATAGTCTATGGCTAGAGGTAGAGAAGAATAATGTAGAGCATAGAAATTGCAGCAGGGAGGATCAGGGAATGAGTAGTGAAGAGAGAGAGAAGGAAAGCAGGAAAAAGGAGGAAGGAAAAGAATATAATAGCATAATGAAAATAGCGGTAGAGATATGTGACATGTCAGTAAACGAGAATAGCGAGGAAAAGGAAATGGTAAAGGATAGGATAGAAAACAGTAAGGATGAGAGAAAAACAACCGGGAGTAAACGAGAAAACGAACCCGCAGGTTTTCTGAAGGAAGTTCGGGATGTCTTACAAGAGATGACAGTCTTGAATTCCGATCGGGAAATGAAATTAGAGAATCTTCTAATAAAAAATAAAGAGGTTTTTTCGGATTATCCAGGGTGTTTTAAAAATTATGAACATCAAATCGTCCTAAATACAGATAAACCGTTTGTAAGACGATCATATCCGATACCATTAAAGTACCGTCAAGCGGTGGATGAGGAAATTGCTAGTATGTTAGAAAATAGAATAATAGAGCGTTCAAAGAGTTGTTTCTGCAATCCAATAAGAATAGTAAAAAAAAAGACAAGACTATTAGAATATGTTTAGACGCGAGAATTTTAAACCAATATGTAATCGCAGATAACGAGTCACTACCGATAATAGAAGAACTACTACAAAAATACGCAGGAATTAAAGTTATGACAACTACAGATTTAACCAGTGGATACTGGTAAATTCCTTTAGCAAAAGAGTCGAGGAAATACACGGCATTTCTTGTAGGAAGCACATTATATCAATTTCGCCGCGTTCCATTCGGATTAAAAACAGCAGGTAGTGCATTCATAAGAGCTATGAATTTAGCTTTAGGTGATTATTTGAATACCTTTTTAACCATCTATGTAGACGATCTATTGATTACTTCATGTAATTTTGAGGAACATTTAGAGCATTTGCAATTGTTGTTTGAAAGATTAAAGGAGTACAATTTACGGTTAAAATTTGGTAAATCATTGTTTTGTAGAGACGAAGTTCCTTACTTGGGAGTAATCTTGTCGCAAGAAGGAATTCGACCAGATCCGGAAAAAATTAAAGTCATTCAGGAAATTCCGGAGCCAAGAAATAGATTGCAATTGCAAAAGTTTGTAGGAGTATGTAATTACTACAGACGATTTAGTGAAAAACATGCTAAATTAATACATCCATTTAGGGACCTATTAAGTATAAAGAATGAATGGAAATGGACAGAAGATCATAAGAAGGCATTTGAGCAGATAAAACAAAGTTTTTTAAATTATGTATATTTAAAGCATTATATACAGGACAGACCGTTCTATGTACAAACAGACGCGAGTGATCAGGGGATATGCGGCGTATTATTTCAGAAAGACGAAAATGATGATGAACGTATTGTTTCACTCGCAAGCCGAACACTGACACAATGCGAAATGCACTATACCACAACAGAAAAAGAACTATTAGCTATTACATATGCAATAAACAAATTCCGAACATATCTATTTGGAGTAAAGTTCTTCGTTGTAACGGACCATAAGGCTTTGGTATTCTTATTGTCAACATCGTATTATAGTTCAAGGTTAACGCGGTGGAGTCTGTTTTTGCAGCAATATAATTTTACTATTCTCCACTGTGCGGGCACGGAAAATATAATAGCGGATTACTTTAGTAGGCATTTTAAGAATCAGGTGGAGACAAAACAAAACGAGTTTTTCATATTAGGAATACATGAAGTAATAACAGAGCGAAAATATGAAGTAAGATGTTTATTTGCAGAAAAGCCAATAAATAGGGAAATACGCGATATTGGTAGAATGCAACAAAAAGACAAAGTAATAAGAGGCATACGAGAAACAATAGAGCAGAACAAAGAAAACGAAAAATTTAAGTTGTATGAAAATGTTTTATTTCACAAAACGAAAAACGGAAAAGAGTGGAGAATAGTGATTCCAGAAAATTTAGTACAAACGTTAATACATACAATTCATGTTGAATATGGACATATTGGAATTTATAAGACGGTTAAATATCTACAACAGTTTTATTACTGGAAAAACATGAATCGAGACATTAGACGAATGATTCGTTGTTGTGATCATTGTCAGCGCGGGAAATATAATAACGTAAGAATGGAAGGACCCTACCAATCTATAATACCAAATAAGCCGAATGAAATTATAAGTGTCGATTTTTATGGTCCGTTACCACAATCACGGGGAGGGGTGCAGTATTTGCTGGTGGTCATAGATATATTCTCGAAATACGTGTCTCTTTACCCAATCAAGAAAGCGACAACAAAGATAACATTAAATAAAATAATAAATGATTATTTTCAAAGAGTAGCGAAGCCAGAGGCTATATTGTCAGACAATGGCACTCAATTTACATCTAAAAAATGGAGGGAAAGTTTGGGAAAAGAGAACGTACGAGTAATTTTTTCGTCGGTTAGGCACCCGCAATCTAATCCGGTTGAGCGTACGATGCGTGAGTTGGGCCGATTTTTTAGGACCTTCTGTGCAGAACAACATACGAAATGGGCAAAATATGTAAAGGAAATTGAAAATATTTTAAACCTCACGACTCATAGTAGCACAGGGTATATACCATATGAAATACATTACGGGGAAAGCCCGCAGTATAAAATAAAACAGCTAGTGGACTTTCCGCCGGATGAGAAAAGCGACAGCATAATATGTGTGAAAGTCAAAGAAAATTTAATAAAAAGTGCAAAAAATAGAAGGAAACAACAAAAAAGATGTTCGAAAGTTCAATTGGGAATAAATGATTTAGTATTAGTACGGAGATCGGAATTGTCCAGCGCACTCGATAAAGTAACAAAAAAGTTTTTTCAATTATACGAAGGACCATATAAAGTAAAAAAAATAATACCACCAAATGCATACCAGCTTTGTAATATAGAAGATAAAGAAAAAATAAGAGGAACCTTTAACAAAGCGTTATTGAAAAAGTATTATAACGAGACGGCAAAGAAGAGTAGCGTAAGAAATGACGAAACATAGGAAAGAGGTGACGAAATGAATAAATGTAGCGAAAGAGGAATTAGACATAAGTTAGAGTAAGTCCGTGAGAGAGAGTAAGAGAGAGGTGTAAAATAATGCGATCGGGTATAAGGTCTGATCACATTAAGGGGGGGTATGTAATGGAGATAATATAAGAGAAGAGAGAGAGAGGAGGATGAAAGTAGGGATGAGATAGGAGAGGTGGGGAACGGGCCCACAAAGAGAAATGCGGAAAACAAGGAAGACAGTCGGAGCTCGAGCCACGTTCCCGAACGGATCGATTGGAACGTATATCACGTGTGCCGGAGCATTCCACAACCTGGAGTCATTTTGGCGACCATGACCGTGGTCATGACGATGATTGACGTAGCC